AATTTGAATAAAGAATGGATTGTGAAATTTAAGTTATGTTGGTATTGGGTTAGCTAATTAGGTTGGGTAAGTAAAAATTAATTGTTAATATATGTGCACAAAATATATACAAAAATAAATTTATATATATATATTTTTTTTATATGGATCCCCACGGTTTCCTACGGAGTGGAGAAAATTCCCCACGAAATTTCACGGGTAAAAATTTGCCTCCATCCCCGTCCCACGGATAAAAATATTTTGAGAATCTCCATCCCCATGGCGGGTATCTCCGTGAAGCTCTGCGGGTCGCGAATAAAATTGCCACCCTTAAGCTAGCTGGCCAGTTCAAAGCATACGACAAAAATTTGAAAAAAAAGAAGGTCACCAATGGGTCTCGAGCACTTCACCTAATAAAAAAATTGGCCCTAAGCTTTTGTCACCAGCCAAAGAAACCTTGGAGGAGATTGTTTACAACAAAGGTTAAACTCCCAACGTGATCCTTCAACTAAAAATATCCCTAAGTTGGTCCTAAAGTTTCAAAATTTAGCTCAAGTTAGTTCCCCTGTTAAATTTTTTATAAGATGGCTTGCTAACTAACGATAGAAAAATTACATATTGAAAATTTTTTGACATGTGCGATTTATAGCACACAAAAAATAATGACATGACAAAATTTTCAACTTATGAATTAACCATTTATTAAATTAAAAAAACTAAAACTTTCATCTATATTCTTTGGGTTCATGAAGAACCCAAATGCTCGCCAACAAAGGTATTGATGGTGGGGAAGTAAGGGCAGGAAACCCCGATTTGCTAGATGGTCTTGCGACGATGGCCCTAGAACTGTTAGCAAGGTGATATTTATGCATAATCTAATTCGATTTGATCCCTTTAGGAGACTTTCTCTGGATCTCCTCCTCCATCAAACTAGTTAGCTAGCTTACAAATCCCTCACAATTCTTAGGCATGCAAGCAATGGACAACCAGATGGTCTAGATCTGGAAGAGAGAAGGGTGAGAAAGATCAAGGGGAAGAAAATGAATTGATTTGGTGATGGACAAAGGTGATTTTAATGGAGCAGACCAAAGAATAACAAAAAGAAGAAGGAAATCATCGTTGACAAATGGGAAGATGATTAGAGATGGTTTTAGAAGGTGAAGGAAAGGAAGAGGAAAGAGAAAGGGAGGGAGGAAAATAGGAGAAGAAAAAAAAAAAAAGGGGGGGGGATTTAAATTTTTTTATTTTGCCATGTCATTTATTTATCCATGTTGTCAATCTTACATGTCAACATTTTTCGACATATCACTCTCCATCAATTAATAGGACACGTAAACGGATTTTTAATGAAGGGATTAACTTGATGTCAAAGTACAAAATTTTAAAGACTAAATCAAAGATTTTTTGTGTTAAGGGATTAACTTGAGGGTCCATACAATAGTTGAAGTATTAACTTTGGGGTTTAACCTACAACTTGAAGTCAAATTACAAAATTTTAAAGACTAAATTAAAGATTTTTTAGTTGAGGGACTAACTCGAGAGTCTATACAATAGTTGAGGTGCTAACTTTGGGGGTTTAACCTACAACAATTGTTATTTCTCAATATGAAGATTTAACTCTTAACGGGATTCAAACTCTGTTCTTCTTTCTTATGAAAAGAAGGGTCTTTACCAATAGACCGAAAACTTACTTTAGTTTACAAAATGCACAAAAATACTTATTATATATGTTACATATCTTTTATATATTTTATATTACCATCTTGTTAGACTGAGAATTTAAGGTTTAGTTTAACAATAATAAGCTAGCTGTAACTGTAAATATATTTAATATTTATGTTAATTAACATTTTATATGTTTTCAAAATAATAAAAAGATATAAAAACTAAAAGACTGAGAAGTGTTTTCAAATGAAGCCTAAGTAGTCAAGCCTAGAGATGACAATTTTTCCTAATCTTTGTGGGGCTTTGTGAGAATCCCAAGCATGAGGATAGAGAGTATTTTTTTACTGTGAAATTTCACAAGGAATTCCATGCGACACTTAACTCGGAAATAACCCCTAAACCCGAACCAAGTCAACCTTCTCAACACTTAGCGTGGCCCACCCACTGGACTATGAGGTTAGCAACATGTAAAAGATGAAGGTAGGAAGTTGGGAGAAGAAGAGAATTTATTAGATCGCAAAAAAGTGTACAAGAGCTTGAGTACACAACCTGTCTATGCACTCACTCGCTAGCTAGCCAACCTTCAGGCCCCTAGCTTAGCTTACATTATTCTAGATCCATCTATTTTAGAATGGTCTCCATTTCTTGTGAAATATCAAAAATATAAAGAAAAAAAATATTAAATTTAACACAATCTAAATATTTAATTCATAATTATAGACATACCCTTATTTAATTTTAATTTTTAATTTAATAAAAAGTCTAATTATTTTAAATCAAACAAAATCCAATATTTTTTATTTTAATCTAACTATTTAAAATATATTATTTTAAAATAATAAAATAAAAATAATTAAATTAATTTTATAATATAGATTCACAGTAAAATCCCATAGGACCCATTATCTATGGGTAATGAGGATGAGGCAAATTCTACCCTCTTAAAAAATTCCTATGAGAATTATTATCCCTATGATTTGCAAAGATGAGGATTATGAGGCACTTCCCAGCCTTGTGGGTTCTATTACCATCTTTAGGGTGCATTTAAGGTTGCTATAAACAGTTGTGGCTGTGGCTGTGGCTGTGGCTGTTGTTGTAGCTATAGCTGTGGCTGTGACTATAGTTGTGGTTGTGACTGTGGTTATGGTGAATTGTACTATGCTTTATTATAACTGTAACTGAAAGTTATTGTGCTGTTTGGTTATTTATTTTTTAAAAATATTATAGATGAAATATG